TACACCACCATAGATAAAAAGAATAAACATCATGATCATATCAATAGATGCAGAAAAAGCATTTGAGAGAAATCTAACATCCATTTTTTATAAGCTCTCAGCAAACTGGGAACAGAGGGAACATACATTGACATAATAAAGGCCATATATAGCAAATAGACAACTAACATCATACTTAGTGGTGAAAAGCTAAATGGTTTTTATGAGGATATCCACTTTTATTGAACATAATATTGGAAGTCCTAGCCACAGCAATCAGACAAGGAAAAAAAGGCATCCAAATTGCAGAAAAAAATAATACTGTTATTATTTTCAGATGACATACTTATATAGAGAGCACCATAAACAGTGCACCAAAAAACTATTAGAACACTAAAGTAGCAGGATACAAAATACTCAGAAATCAGCTGCATTTTTATACATCAGTAATAAACTATGAAAAAGAGAAATTAATAATGCCATCCACAACTGTATCAGAAAGTAAAATACCTAGGAATAAGTTTCACCAAGGAAGTAAAAGACCTGTACTTAGAGAATTAAAAGACTCTGAAAAAAGAAATTTAAAAAAGATTCAAATAAATGGAAGTACATACTGTGCTCATAGATAGGTAGAAGAATTAACATTGTTAAAAATGTCCACACTAGCCAAAGTAACCTATAGATTCATTATCATCTGTCAAAATACCAATGGCATTTTTTTCACAGAACTAGAACAAATAATACTAAACTTTATATACAACACAAAGATCTGAATAGCAAAAGCTATCTTGAGAAAGAAGAGTAAAGTTGAAAGTTCATGCTACCTGATACCAAACTGTTCCGCAGAGCTATAGTAATTAGAACATTAGGCACTGGCATGAAAACAGACAAGTCAACAGAAAAGACTAGGGAGCCCCCAAATAAACCTACACCTATATGGTCCATAATCTATATATAACAAAGGAGGCAAGAATATGCAATGGAATAATGCCATTCTTTTCATTAAATGATATTGGGAAAACTGGACAAACACAAAAAAATGAAACTGGATCACTTTTGTACACTCTATACAAGAATAAACTCAAAATGGAATACAGGTTTAAATTTAAGACCCAAATCCATAAAACTCCTGAAAGAAAATATAGGAAGTAAACTCTTTGACACCATTTTTAGTAATACATTTTTGGATATGTCTCCTCTAGCAAGAAAAGATCACCTACTGAATGAAAGATGATCCTTGCCAATGATACATCTAATAAAGAGTTAATATCTAAACTATATAAGGAACTCATACAATTTAACACCCCCAAAAGAAATCTGATTAAAAAAATGGGTGGAGGACTTGACTAGAAAATTTCCAAAGAGCACTTACAGATAGGCAATAGACATATGAAAATATGCTCAACATCAGAGAAATGCAAATTAAAACCACAATGAGGTATCACCTTTTACCTGTCAGAAGGGCTATCATCAATAAATCAGCAACCAAGTGTTGGAGAGGATGTGATGTGGAGACCAGGGAACCCTGGTGTTCTGTTGGTGGGATTGCAAATTGGTGCAGCCACTACAGAAAACAGTATGAAAGTAACTCAAAAAATTAAAAATAAACTACCTTATGATCCAGCAATTTTGTGTATTTATCTAGAGAAATCCAAAATACAAATTCAGAAAGATATATGCACTCCTATGTTCATTGTAGCATTATTTATAATAGCAAAGATAAGGAAGCAATCTAAGTTTCCATCAATAGACAAATGGAAAAAGATGTTATATACAATGGAGTATTACTCAGGCCATAAAAAGAATGAAATCTTACCATTCATGACAACATGGATGGACCTAGAGTGTATTATGCTAAGCGAATTGTGTCAGAGGACAAATACCATCTGATTTCCCATATATATGGAATCTAAAAAACAAAAGTTAACAGTCAGTTGCATAGATACAGAGAACAAATGGATGGTTGCCAAATGGGAGGGTGGTTGGGAGGATGAGTGAAAAAGGTGAAGGGATTAAGAAGTACAAATTGGCAATAATAAAAAGTCACTGGAATATAAAGCACAGCATGCAGAAATACAGTGAATATTATTATAGGGGAGAGTGACAAGCAGTAATTATGTGCTCCAGGTAACTGTCCTCAAACACCTTAGTAGAGGGATTTAAGTGAAATGTGTTTTCCAGCATACTGCCAAACAGCATATTCTTCAGGTTCTGAAATAAAATTTTGCTTTATCTACAGAGAGAAAAAGAAGGAATTGGAACGTGAAGAATTATGGAAAAAATTAGAGGAGCTAAAACTAAAGAAAGCTCTAGAAAAGCAGAACAGTGCTTATAACATGCACAGTATTCTCAGCAATACAAGTAATGAGTAAAAGAAAAAAAGCCTGCCACTTCTGTTGGATAGGCACAGTTTTGTACACTTTTTTGAAATGTGTAAAAAATATGAAACAAACCTCATCAGTATAATTAAAAGGCCAATTTTTTATGGCAACTGTAAATGAAAAAAATATATGGACTAATAGCCCTGTGCTATCATGGCCACAGTATATTGTAACATTTGTCTAATCATTGGTTTATTGTGTCACTTCTGAAGTTTCACAGAAATGAATTTTATCATCTATGAGTGAGATAATTATGGGAGTGGTAAGAATTATGACTTGAATTCTCTTTTTTTGATTGTGTTGCACATAGATAAAGTAGTCTGCTCTGTATATTTTTCCCTTTTATAATGTGCTTTTCACATTGCTGCAGACCTTAGTTACATCCTAGGAAAAAAAGAGTATTTCCTAAAGTAAAACTAAGGTATAATCCTTACCCTTCCCTTAGTCCCTCTCAGGAATATGATGGGGGGGAATTACCTGCCCTAAACCTGCCTTCATTAGAGATATTTCTGTACTCTGGAATTTGAGCAAAAACTTAAATCTCCAGGCTTTATAAAGCACAAAATATAAATAAAAGCTGGGAAAGTAAACCAAATTCTTCAGGTTGTTCCTCATGAATATTCCCCTTTATCTGCAACTCCCCAGAGTGATAAGCACAGGTTAGTGGAGGCAGTGCAGGTGAACACTCAGCCTGCTTCTCAGTTCATTCCTCCTCCTCCTGAAGGCTGAAGGCAGGGCCCTTCCAGTCCTTAAAACCTGCCCTTCCTCCAGTCCCTCCTGACCCAGGAAAGGAGGCTTTGAGTCCCACAATGTGGTGGCCCAGAGCACTCATTGCCATTGCCTGGCATTATTTAAAGGAAATGCAGTAGGCTTCCTCTGTAGAGTTCTGCGAAAGTTGACTATAGAGAAGTCTTGTATGTTTTTACTTGGTCAAGTATTTCTCACAAATTTTGTTATCAGAGTACCATTCCAATCTCTTGCAGTTGTGTGGAAAACTGTTTTGTAATGAAAGATCTTCATTGGGGGATTGAGCAGCATTTAATAAAGTCTATGTTTGTATTTTGCCTTACGTTGTCACTGTTTTTCTCAGCTCTCAGTTCAACATCCAGAAGATTACCCCCTTTATACATATACTTACATACATACACGTGTGTGTACATAGAAATCTTCAAGGCAAGTTGTGGGAATATATTCTAATTAAAAAATAAGGAAATGGTGCTAAATTGAGTGTTCTGGCCATTTACCAAAGTATATCTGTTTTACAGAATATTTGCATAAAATTCTGTTCTAGGATACCCTTTATGTCCCTTAATGTTCAGAGGATAGATTGAACTTACCTTAAATGTTAGTTCAATTAAAATAGACCCAGGAGGATAAACCTCAAAGCCTGCAATAAATAACCACTGTTTTTCTGAGGACAGGGAGATTGTAGCCAAGTCAGAAGTCAGATATTACAAAGTTTTTAACTGATGTCAGATTTGACCCTTTCATTCCCATAAAAAACTCTAGCACAGGTTCTGCACTCTTTTCCTAGGTCATTGTAAGAGACCTCCTTTCACTCTCTGCAGCTGCAGGAGAACCTCTTCCTTTTCATGGCTCCTATTTTACAGTGTTCTTCCATAGCTGCCTTACCTCAGCCATCCAGGTCAAGGTGCTCTCACCAGATCCTCCAAACCAACCAAGGCCAGCTGGAACTGATGGCGGGGGGTGCGCAGGTAGGACGGGAGCCTACTGCAGGAGACAAAGCTGCTGCCTTTCCAGAAAGTGACCGTTAGGGCTAGACGTCAGACATGTATGTCTTTGACTGAAAAGCAACCACAGTTGATGTGGGCAGGCTGCGGCTAATAGTTGTTAGGTTCTGTTCTTTGGTGAGCTAAAAATGCTCACTTCCTAATTATCTGCTACCTTTAAAGCACAATTAAGAAGTCTCAATTCTCTACAATACAGAAAATGCAGTTCTGTGCTATTCATTGGAGCAAATTTTATTAGACATTTAATGAAAATTAAGTAATATTGAAGTGGTGTGGCATCTTTAGATATCCTTTAAAAATAAACACCTGTTTTTCAATACTGTTAATGTATGTTTTTATGTCTGGCTTTGCATTTGCCTTATAGCAAGATTTTACACAGACAACACCTAAGCTAAATTTTGAATTGGCCTCTTCTTACGGCATAGAAAAGTAGCAGGGAATATTTCTTTACACACAAGTTTACTTTTAATAATCCAACCAAAAAGCATAGTTTCATGTTGCTAAGTTAGATGTGAGAGTAAAAGAACAACAACAAACCCACTTACACATTTGAGTTTTTCTCTTTGAATTACCTAAAGGCAGGTTATGAAATTCAGGAAATGCTACTAAGTCCTCTTTGGATGCAAAGGGCATGTAAATAACTTAAAAACATTGGAAACAATTTCATACCATTTGAGATGTGTGGTTTTGTAGAGTTAACATACCTTATTCATGGGGCTTGAGCCATCACACTGACCATCCACCGTCAACTGCCCTGCCCACCGCCCCCCTTCCCTGGACGCACAGCTGTGACGTAACTCCAGAGTCCAGATTCACTTCTAGAGGTCACACACAGCATGAAAGTGGACTGATTTAGCAGATATTCGTACTGGCACACAGATTCCTTTTGTATTAACCTAACTTTTATTTACCTGTTAATGAAATCATCAATAGACATTGAATAGACACCTACTCTGTACATTCGTACTAGTGCTTTTGTCTGTAAATCACTCTAAACTCTTACGGTAGGTTGCTAGTCAGTCCACAGAAAATCTAATAACTAGTTTGTAGTAGCTTTTAAAGTCTCATTTAATATTTAACAAATGAGAAAGCTCGTCAGAGAGGTAAAAGGCAGATGATGCCAGACATAGGGTGTTTGCCTTTCGTTGTGTCAAGTGCACAGGTTTCAAAGCACAACCTACACATCTGAATACTCACACCCTCTTCCATCCACTTTAAAAACCTCCGGGGAAAAGAAACCCAAGGTAAACAGCAGAGCCTTAATAACCTGTTGTAGATGAACTATACACCAAACCAAATTAGAGGCAGCTTTGACAAACCTTCAGAAGACCAGATACATACCTCATTTCCATCTTCCACAAACCCTATTCATATGTCATAGTCAAAAAATGTTCATTAATAATTTAAGTACTTAAATAACTTTTAGGTTATCCATTGGATCTGTCCATTAGGCTGTTCCTCCCAGCAGGGCCCATTTCTTCAGGTGAGTACAGGAGTGCTGGTAGCTTCATCGATCAAAGCGGAAGCGATGACAACTTCCATCAATGTGGGCAGTTCTTTGAACAAAGCGACGTCAGCTTATATGGTTCGTTGCCTGACCTCTTTTTTTAAGGTATCTCTTCCTAATTTTGATCATCCATTTCACACTCAGTTTGGCAAACTCTGCTGCTTTAAATAATGCCAAGAAGGCCCCACAGAGAAGAGCAATTGTGTTCCAAGGATTGGCTGTGATTATCTGTAAAACAGAACCAACTCAAGTTTGTTAGTTTGCTTCAGTTTTGACTCTTAGGTCATACTAGTATTGCTGGGGCAACAAGAAAAACACCTGGGTTCTAAAATTGTCATAATGCATAGTTTAATGTCCATAGTTCATTCTGAGGAGAAAATACTAAGCCCTCCATACAATAAAGTGATTAATTCTGAAAGGAAAAAGTTGTTTTTCAAAATAGCTCTGCACAAAGAAAGTATTCAGTACAGAGCTTTAATATTCTGGCCCACAGTAAGTGGCCTTGCCTTGACACAAATTTCTCCAGAACTACACCTACTCCATAAGGAAGGGCAGCCCTCTTGTGTTCTTCCCCTCTCGGTGACTCAAACTCCTCCTCCCACCCAGGCCAGTGGCCACCCTTCCCCACTCATGTCATGGGTCTCCGCCTCCAGGCTGTGCCTCCTGCTCCCAGCCTGTTTCGCTTTCCTCCTAACTAGCTACCTTTCCAGACTCCTCAGAGCCTTTCTCTGTCCACTCAGCCAAACCCTCCTCTGACTTTAGCAGATTTATCCGCCTGTCCTTTGGCAGTTACTTACTGTCTGGAATTAGTCACTTTACAGCTATCAATGGCTCCCTCAATAAATGTTAAAATCTCTAGAACCCACATGGTATCTTGGATTTCTGAGTTCCCCATCATGGTAAATAGCACTTTCAAGTCCCAGTTCTAGCTTAGACAATTTGAACCTCTGGGTTCACCTATGCAAAATGGCCGTGTCACCTCCACTATTCAAGATGGTTGTGGAGCTGAGTGACAAAGCACAGCAGGCCAGTGACAGTTACCTCTTACTGCATATAGGTTAAAAAATGTCTGATCACATGATTTACATGTAGAGCTGAAAGAGTTCAGTCTTGTGCCCAGAGTCCCGATTCACTAAGCCTCTGTACAAGCCTCTCTGTGCACGACCTTGCCGATCCAACGTTAATGGTGGTTGGGGACAGTGGAGCACATCCATGTCACAAAGACCCTCCTGTTTAATTGCAGCTCTTGAAATGCCTTTCCTCAGGCCATGACCACGTCAGGACATTTTGTGACGACCTAAACACCAGTCAGTGCCATTTGGGACTGGCTGTGGTGGATGGGTTTCCAGAACACTCCTTTGGCAAAGCTTTCTCATTAGCACCCCCTTGAAGACCATCAGTCTGAGAATTTGACATTAACTGATACTCTGTTAATTTATTTGTACCTTTCTGCTCTCACTTTTCACAAATAGTTAAGTTTTTATCCTACAGATGACCATTTAAAAAGAGTGGCTTCCAAACAGCAGTAATCCAGATACTAGCTTAATGCTTTCTACTCAGCTTATCCAGTCAGTATGACTACTAAGCAGCAGCTTTGTACTGAGTGCTGTGCTAGACACCAAATAAACAATGACAAACAAAAGACAAAGTCCCCACCTTCACAGGGTCACAGTCTAGCAATGAAGACAAGATCAATTAAACACAAATGATACAGAACATAAATGTCATAAATATAAACGACAACTTGTGATCTCTGCCGGAAAAGAAGATGAAGACAGCCTACAAGGACGAGCCCAAATGCCTCAGAGCTGGGAGCTTGCTCTCAATCTTAAGTAATACTCACGTCTTGGACTTTCTGGATGAAAGGATCTTTCCATTCAAAGACCACAAAAAACAACTGAGCACTTCTTTCAGCAGCTGGCCTTTGGTCAATGTAGTTAACCACACTGGTCTAGGAACAGAGGAGAGAAAGCAGTGTCACCTGACCTGGCCCACGGGATAAGAAAGCACAGTTAGGGAATCTCAGACCGTGGCTCCCCTCACAGCCTCTTGGGAGGAGAGAGGGCCTCAGGTCTCCCATACACAACACCCTGAAACTGGTACCTGAGTCCAGGCCTGGCCCTGGTTTCCACAGTTGTTTGGGGAAACAAAGATGATCTGGGATGTACAAGAGATGGTTTGGACTGTCACCGAATAAACCATAATCAAAGCACTGTTTCAGATTCCCACAGTTAAAAGCTATAAAAATCCTAAGTTTCAAAAATACTTGATCTTAAGAGCTGAGTATTTTACTCTTTGTGTCTACAGGGACCCCCGAGGCTGAATGTTCCCTGGGAACAGTCAGTCGGTGTCCTTGGGAAGATCTGGTCATCCATGACTGAAGGGTCTGCGTGGCATCAGACAGGCCCCACCCAAAGGGTTGGGTTCATCATCTGAACTGAACCTCTGCTTTGCCACCCATAAAACGGGGACGGAATGCCTGCCTCACTCAGGCCTGGAAGGATCAAATGAAGCAATATATATGTGAAAGTATCTTAAATTTTAAAACACAATATAAAAACATAAAATTTTGTGTAAGTTTGTGTCCCCTGCCAAAAGTCTTCCGACGGAGGCAGTAATAAAGCACAGAAGGCTTTCTGAAACAGACAAGCTGGCTGGGGCTTGGGCCCGTGGCTGGGGCTACAGGGCAGCCTGAGTGGACCGGGGCCGCACCCCAGTGTGAGAACACCGGGAAGCGCCTGCCTTGGCTGCTGGGGGCAGCGGGAGGGGCAGACGAGAAAGGGCCTGGCATTCTTGGAGAAAAGGGTGGAGTAAAAATTCAGGAGATAACAGCTTACGAAGTAAGGAATATTTTATGGACCTTTTGCCATGGGAGCTGTTACATCTTAAGGTGGGGAAAAAACCCTGCCCCTTGAAGAAACCTGGCTCTGCGCCCTTCCCAAAGCGCTGTCTGGAACAGTCCTAGGAGCCAGGCGCAAGAAGGACCAGATCTGGACGAACATGTGGCTTCTGGCCAATGGTAGCCCTGCCAATTGGAGAGGGCCCTTCAACTGAGCCCAGCCCAAATGCAGCGCCTCCCAGGAGGAGCAGAGGCTGTGGGCATGGGCTCCCACCAGGGACGCGGGCTGCTCTCGCTCAAGGTGTGGGTTCAGGTGGGAGGGGACACCACCACAATGGAAGCCCCAAAGGCAGGGGTGTGGCCTTGCTTTTGGTGGTTTTGACAGACGGCCCTGTCCCATTCCTCGATCCCCACTGCCACACCCTTGTCTAAGGTCCTCCCCTCTCTGGTTGGGGTTGCGGCTGGAGACTCCCACGTCTCCTGTCTCAGGATCACAATTCCCAAGAGTAAAATTTCTGAGCGCACACCCAACAGTATTTGTAACTTTAGAAGTGATGATGCAGCATTACCATCACTGTTCTAATGTTACATGATTATAAAACACTGAAAAACAGAAAAATGGGATAAAAAAAATACAAGAGGGAGTGAGTACTTGAGATCTTGCTCTCCGGCATACCAGTTTGACTCAAGTACGCTCATAAAAATGTTTTAAATAATACATAAGAAAGCTAGTATTTTACTCCCACGTCCCAAAGGACCTTCGTGCTCCTGACACTTCAAGTCCACTGTATCTAGTCTCTTCCCTGCAAATACTCGACCTTCTAGGGAGCACCAGCCTCCCAGAGCACCAGGGGGGACGCAGGGCGGAGACCAGAGTGGCTACAGCGCAGGGGGCTCTCTGCTCCCCCCAGGCAGGTGTGAGGCCGGGCGGTCACAGAGGGAGAGGGCCTGGCACCGGCGGGTGCCCCTCAGGGAACATGTGAGCTCCAGGCAGGGCCCATCCTCAGCCTTCAGACCCTCGCAGACGCCTCTGCTCTGCGAGGCTCCCCCGCCCCACGCTCAGGCTGGGCGGCACCGGCAGCCTGAAGCAGACCCGGCACCACCTACCTCCTGCCGGAACTCCACCGCTTCCCGTCCATCTTCCTCCTTGGTCTCCACCAGGGACATCTTGACCCAGGTTCGGAAGCCCCCGGAGAACTTCCAGCTGGAATAGGCGCTCTCACAGGCCTGCATGAAGCCCACTCTGTCTGGGCTGGAGGACAAAGAAAGGTCCAAGTTCGTCAGGCCTGACGGCAGGATGCTAGTGTGGCCGGACTCAAACTCCAGCCCCTGCTTCACCTGGTTTCTCCGCTGGCATCACGAGGATGATTCCCACCCCACCCCCTCCAAGCTCTGCTTCTTGGTTTCCAAACAGAGGGAGTGGCCACCCACCTCAAGGCAGGAGCAGCCCCAATGGGAGATGCCTCCCCTCCTCTCCGGCCCTTCAGACAACCCGGGACCTCCGCTGTCCCAGGCGCCACCACAGCCCCCCCCCCGCCCATGCCAGCCTCCACCCCACACCCGTCTAGGGCTGTGCGAGGCTGGAATATGATAAAGAGTGGCTACAAGCCCGCCAGGATCTCTGGAAGGCCACCTGTGCAGGAACTCCTGGAAAGAAGAGAAGAGGAGGTAGTCGATGGCGCTGAAGTCCTCACTGCTCTGGTTCAGGCGGAACTGCAGGAAGACCAGCTCCCGCTTCTTCACTTCCCGGGGCCCCTGCACGACCAGGGCGGATTTCTGCAGAGAGAGCAAGGCCAGGCCTCAGCCGTGGGAGCACTGGGTGGCTGCTCCTCTGCCTCAGGCCCACAGGCGCTTGCGAGTCAGCACGGAAAGCCCGCAGCGGCCCCTGCGGTGGCCGGCGGCCAGGCCTCCTGCTCAGGAGCCCAGCTGTACCTGGACAGAGCTCCGTGCAGCTTGTCCTGTCCGCGCTCCTCACTGGTGGGCTGCGCTACAGAAGCTCCTTGTTGACAAAGGATATTACCTTCTGTCTGTTACACATACAGATGTCTTCTTCCCGACAGTCACTTCACTGTTAACTTTGCTTCTAACGTCATTTGTTTTATGACGTTCTAAATTTGATATCGTGAAATCTGTGAATATTTTTTTTTTATGGCTTCTGGGTTTTGCTTGCTAAGGAAAACCAAAGTTATCATGTCTCAATATTCTCCTGTATTTCCTTGTAACAACTTTTTAATCTTTTTTACACTTAGATCTGTACATGGTATGAAATAGGACTCTAACTCCCACTCCCCACAAAACAGAGATGCAGGTCTGACCACTGTGGGTTTACCCGCTGTGACATCAGACTGAGAGGTCCCCTGCACGTCACTGCCCACCCCCGCAGACCTGGGGGAGTTAGTTCTCTACATGTGCTCTTCCGATGTGCTTTCAAACTAGCTTAAGTTCCATGAAAAAGTCAACTGGGACTTTTTAACTGATGGTATTGGATTGCTAGATTTGTGAAAAAATATCTTTACACCATCAACTCTTATAAGTGCTCTACAGATGTCTGAAGTGTGAGGATTCTGTCAGACACACTTGCTCCAAACAGACTGTACTAGTCAACTGCTGCCCTTACTTTTTAGTCTCCCTAATCTGTGACTTTCTGAGAAGTGTTACACATGCTCTAAGGTGATAGTATTTTTTTATTTCTAACAGGTATTGCCTAAAACATACAACTGGTATGCTGTTTTGCACATAATGATAGATTTATGGCTGTTAAATTTTCTCAGTGGAGAGTGGTGAGGTTGAACCTCTTACCCATATTAAACATCCCTCTTTTAACCTTTTGCACCTGAAATTCCTTTTTGACTGAGGTTAATATTATCACTCTACTTCTGGTTATTGTTGCATTAGCCCAAGAGGTCTCTCTGTCCATCTATTTATTCTCAACCTTTCCATGCCACGGTCAGTGGCAGCAGAGAATGCCAACTGCCCCCAGTTTCCACTGTCCACTTCCTCCTGCAGATCTAGAACCTCTTCCTCAACCCCAGATGCTGGCGGAACACAGTCACCCCGCTGGACCCTCACTTCCGGCCTGACATGTGGGCGTGTGATGAACTTCCTGCAACATGCAGTGACTCGTGACTCTCCACGGGCATCAAGCCCTCCGCTTCTCTCCTCCTGGGAGCCAGCATGTGCACACGTGCTGTGAGCCAGTGCCGACCACGGGGACCAGGACAAAGCCCAAGGGATGGCACAGTGACCGACATCTGTATACCCGACTGTCCACAGAAAAAGCAGCAAACTTCTCTCTCGTCCCAGCCACTGTGTTTGTCTAGGGTGTTTGCTTTTACAGGAGCTTAGCCTCGTCTCTAACCCTCACATAGGTAGTTTTCTGGAACTGGGTGCCATGGTAACAACCTAAAAAGGAGGCATCAGCTTAACATATGGACCGTGGACATACGGCAGGCGGCGAGGAAACAAACGCAGGCCCTGCAGACTGAAAAGGCCGTGCCCCTGACTGTGCCAGAGCACAGCAGCTGGTAGACAGGAACCAGATTAAAGGAGAGGGGGCGGGGGAAGAGGGAGAGAACAGAAAACAAGTGAGAATCTGAAGACTGACGAAGTAGGGCCAGATGAGACGCTTGGCTGAGTCACGGTCCACAGGACGCCACAGGCCACAAACAGCCAGAAGCCTACGTTTCTGAAGACATCGCACTGCAAACAAAGGTGCCGGGGCAGGAGAAGGAAAACAGCAAGCCGGGCACCTAGTCCGAGACTGCCCAGCCCTAAGCCACGCCTCCAGCACCGCAGCACCAATGGGCGCCCACAGCACCAATGGGCGCCCACAGCTGTGAGGTCTGGGAAGGGCCTGTTTCTAAGGTCCACTCCAGATACACAGCCACAGAGGACCACCGCCAGGGCAGGCCCTCCCAGGCATGGGCCAGGGGCAGGCCAGGACACCTGATGGGGCACGCCCCCCACCCCTCCACAGGGCCTCCTCCCTGCCTCAAGCAGCTGCTGCACTTACTGTCCTTCCCCGCTCCCTCCTCCTTGGGAGAGTCCGGAGGAGTGGGGGCCGGTGCTCAGGGAGGGGGTGACCCAGTAAGAAGCCACATCTGGAACTGGACGAGAAGACTATCCATCCTCCAGAACCGGAAGCAGCAGTGCAGTCAAATGAGTTTTCATGGAAACAGCTCTCCTTTTCTGTTGAGTCCACGGGTTTTTAACAACATTTATCCCTAACGTGACAGGTAGGACTGGCATAAACGCAAGGCCTCCCGGTATGCACGCCAGTCCGTGCACCCCTCCGCCAGGGGGAGGACATGCTGAGCCCTGCAGCGCTGAGCGCATCGTCCACGGGATGCAGAGTTGGGAATCCAGGTGGACAGCCTTCCTGCTAGATGGAGCTCTTCGTCAAAATTCCTTTTCATTTAGGTTAGCTCCCTTTCCCTATTCTAGAGTCCATTCTGTTTGTTCCTCTTGGTTCTTTTGCGTGTTTGGTTTCATGTCTAGTGACCCTTCATTGTCCAGCCTTATTTCTGGATGAAGGACTGGGTGGGCTAGCATATGCCTGGGACCTGGGTTCCTCTTAAGCGGCTCCCTAGCAGGCTCACCTGGCCTGGGGCTGACGGGAGGAGCGGCAGGCAGGCAGGCAGGCACCGCCAGCAGGTGGGCACTCCGTCTGTTTCTATCCCAGGAGGGGTTCCTTCCTGGAAGCTCTCTCCGTCCACTGACATCCAGTCTCTAGCTCTACTCCTTTCTCCGCTGCCCGAGCGGGGAGCCTTCCCGCAGCTCATGCAGACAACGGCCCCAGGGCCCCCTACCCAGAACTGAACACCATCCCCAGCGGCTCTGCCAGCTCTGTGAGGGCAAAGGGCACGGAGGCCCCACCAGCAGGCATCCCCTAATTTTTATGCCCGACTGCGCTGTGGCAGCCTGCTCCTTGCCCTTGCTGACACGGAGCTGGAGGAAAGCGCCCGCTCCGCAGCAGCCCTCGCCAGCGTCTGCTTTAGGGTGCGGGTTTCCTCTGGTTTGGCTGCTCCATCAACCTCACCCAATTTGCTATTTATATTTCACATCTGCTCCTCAAAACTGCTGATCCACCGGTGAAACCCATTCTTGGCTCGCAGAGCTACTGTGGTTATTTCATTTTATTCTATTTCTTGCAAGAGTGGGAATCATTTCAGCAGGATTTTAGGAGGAAGCCTAGAATAAATATTAACAAAATTTACCTGAAGACCCACTCAAAGGTCCCTGCCACCCAGAAGGGCAAGTCCCACTCCACAGCTTGCTGCTTTCATCTGGCCTCTGGCCACAGAGGCCTCCTACTGTTCTCTGGGGGCGCCTGACCCCCCTGGCACAGCCGGCTACCGACACCTCCCAGTGACACACACGCACGCTGCACCCCCTGCGAGTCTTGGTGCGGAGCTCCCCTGCCCAGAAAACCTTTCCTTCCTCTTTCTGATCCGGAAACCTGACTCAGCCCGGCTCAGTCCTTTCCGAAACAAGGATACAAGGACATGGGACACAAAAGTCAGGATGTAAAAACACAAGCTCCCCACCCTGCCCTCCCAGCCCCAAGCGGTGCCTCTCCTCTTTGTTATCCACGCCCCACCGAGCCCCCTGGCTGCATATGACAGCAGGGCCAGGCCACCGCCCTGCTCCCAGACCAGTGCTCCTGCTTTACACTGGCTGATGTATCCCCGAAGTATGGATTCCCAGGCCTGGGCCCTGGAGTGATGAATCAGTTGGCCCCACACAGAACCTAGCAACCCATGTTTTCCAAAAGTAGCCTGGCAATTCCGAGCAGCGGTCAGGATGGGACCCACTCCGCCACGGCACACCCCTCACAGACGGTCCTCGTCCATCAAGGTCAGGGTCCTAGCGCACTGTAGGGCCACCCCGACAAGGCTGAGTGCGGGCCAGCCAGCCACAGCCACAGCCCACGGAAAACAGCCTCGTGTCCGCTGGGCCCCACGGCCAAGGGAGCGGGCGGGGCCCCACGGCAGAAAGAAGACGGGCCCTCGGGCGTGGGCCGACAGAGCACGCTGCCCAGACCCGGAGGAGAGTTACCAGGGTCTGGTTGGAGAAGGGGTCCGTGTAGTTGATCCTCCGCGTGGTGCACGTCATGTCTCCGGGCTGGCCCGGGCTCCTCAGCGGGGGGATGACCTCGTAATGGTGCTTACAGCTCAGCAGCTGGGCCTGGCCGGGGTACAAGGCAATACCTGCGGGCACGAATGGAAAAGCGGATGTCAAAAGGTACAGTCCGTGACCACCACACCCCTAAAATCACGTCACATATGCTTTTTCATACCCTCCAACAACCTAAGTTGAGGACTCCCTGGGTGACCACAGAGGAGGGAGAAGAGAAGGGTAACAGAGGGTCGGAAGCCAGGCCCCTGCCCACAGAAAGCCTGCTCTCCTGAGGGAAGGACGCGCCCTCCTCAGGAAGCCCCTCTCCTCGCCTGCGATGCAGCCTCCCCCGCGCCGGCACCAGAGGCCTGCTCTGTGCACTCAGGCGGCCCCCGGGACTCAGCCGCTCCCTAGGACCGGCACCCACCTGCAGAGTCCCGGGGGCCCAGGCCGGGGGCTCCCCAGCTCTCACGCTGTTTCTCATCTCCTGCCCTGCCCAGAGCTCCAGGTGTGCAAGTTGCCTCCCGACAGCCCCTCCCTGGGCCCAGCCAAGGCTGCCCACTCCCGGCTCTGCTGATGGCAGAACCACCGAGAGCAGCACCTGGCACCGGACCCCGGCAGAGCGCAGAGAGACCAGGACACCAGAGACAGAGTAAGCCACAGGCAAGGACAGCAAAGCAGATACACAGGCGGACAAACACAAGACAGGCAGAGCCAGGCCCTGGAGCCTGACTGGCATGCTCGTCAAGAAGCCCCAGACAGAGGAGACCTGAGACCGGCTCCACCCTGTGCGCAGGCCTTCGGAGGGTCACTCAGGGGAGTCCCATTGGCAGGACCTGAACACGCAGAGCTTAAACGCTCGCAGAGCCCAGGGCCAGCCCCCTGTCCTGGAGCAGAGATGCCACCTCACTCGGGGACTGGACTCCCGGCTGGGACGGACGGTGCAGGCGGGGAACCCCTCCCAGGCAGGGCTCCTCCATCCGACCCCAAGGGCTCTGCCTCCCCTTCCTCCCCTAACCCTCGCTTCCCCCCACCGGCCCGCAGCTCCAGTCAGGCAGACTCGGCCACTCCAGAGAAGCCCCCAGCCTGCCCACACTCTCCTTCGCTCCTGCCGACCCTCCTCCCAAAACACTCCCTTCCCATCCCTCGGAGCCCAGCCCAAACCCTGCCACTCCAGGCTCTGTCCCCCTCTCTCCTGGGCACAGGACACACTCTACGGGGCGTGCGCCCCGCACCAGACTCTGCTCACCCCTCCACCCTGCCCGCCGTGCCCAGCGAGGGGCTGGGGTGCAGTGGCGGCTCAGGGAGTGTTTGCCCCAGCCCCCCCCCCAATACCTGTCCTGGCAGGCTCTACCTGGGGCATCGTAGAGGTCCACCTCCTTGTAAGACACCGACATGACCGGGTGCTTGAGCTTCTCACGGAAGTCTGTGATGGTCTGGTAAACCAGGAAGACGGCCACCGCCATGAGCAGCAGGTAGATGAAGATGAGCAGGACCGAGAAGACGTTCTTCAGGCAGGCCTTGCTGACACGGATGCTGCTGGAGGCTGACTCGCCGTCAAGGGCTGGAGGACAGCGACGCACACATGACCCAGAGTGCAGAGGCCGGTGTGGCCAGTGAGGTGGGCAACCCACGGCCCCTTCCCTGCCTTACCGAGGACGCGCGGTCGCTGCACACCTGACCTCCCCACCTCAGCCTCCACCCACAGACCGTAACACACGGCACATGTCAATATTCACCACGCAACTACTATGTCAGAAAGGGGTCCCCGAGCAGAAGGAGTCTCCTCTCCAGCGGGACAGAAACATTCCAACATGGGAGCCGGCCCCAACCCACCTCTCCTGGCTTACCGCCCCCGCCGCACCCCAGCTCCAGCCACGCTGGGCAGCCTTCTGTCCTCCCGGCGTGCCCTCAACCCTGAAGCCTGGCCTGGGCGCTCTTCTCCCGTTGCTGGTTTCATTTTAGAAAGGCATTCCCTCACGGAAGACTTTCCTGACCCATCCCTCACGGCTCCCAGGGCAGCCATGTGTCCCCTGTCACCACTCTGCAATGTCACTGTCTACACGGCTTTGCTCCCTGTAGGCTTTGAGCTCCATGAGGGTGGGACAAGGGCCAGTTCTGTCCATACTGAACCCCTGGCCCTCCATGCAGTGCGCGGAACGGAGCAGGCACACGGCATTTACGTGGTGAATGGCGGAACGCTGACTAAGTGCGTTCTGATGCTACCGCTACAGCACAGCCCTGCCTCTCCTGCCAGCTCTCAAGCCATCCCCGGCCTCAGTCACTGTTGTACACTGGGTTCCGGTCCTGTTCCCTAAGATTCATGGGCTGACGCCCTAACCCCCAAGGAGACTGTATTTAGAGACAGAGTATGTAGAGATGTAACAGAGGTTAAATGAAGCCATGTGGGTGGAGCCCTAATCCAGCAGCACTCGTGTCCTTATAAGAAGGGGAAGGGACACCAGGGGTGAGACACACAGAGAAAAGGCCACGTGAGGACACGTGGGGAAGGCTGCCACCTGCCGGCCAGAGAAAGGAGCCTCAGGAGAAACCAAACTTGGTGACACCTTGTTCTTGAACTTCCAGCCTCCAATACTGAGGGGAAAACTTCTGTTGTTGAAGCCACCCAGCCTGTGGCACTTTGGTACAGCAGCCCAAGCTGGCGGAGACCCTTGCACGGCGCTCCCCATGCCGCTGCTGCAGCTCAGCCGAGCCCAACCTCCGCCCCCGCCCCGAAAGCCCTGTCTCCTCCACAGCAACAGAGCACGAGGCTGAGGATAAAGGGGAGTTTGAACGGAAGTCCAAAAAGATGTGCAGTTGGTCTCTGGCTTGCACCAGTGACAGAGGAGCCTGGTCACACCGCCCTTCCACAGGTAACAATGATAAAATTTGGACAAAATATTTAATGCTATTTGAAGGCACCGGAGAATGATCAGAAGCAAGGAGAAACTGGAAGACAATCTACTCTTGAAAAAAGAGAACAGCACCAAAAAAGAAAAGAGAAAGAAAAGAGAAAAAAGAAAAGAAAAAGAAAAGAGCATCAGCTGGTGAGATTTGTAAATCTGTAGCTGCTTGCCTGGAGCACTCGCCAATCTCTACAAGGTGCCATTTGAGGAAGCAGTGGGCCAAGTTAAGGGCTGGCGGGGCAGTCAGAAAGCTACGGGGGAAACCCAAAACGGGAGGGACACACACTGGGCGAGGGCGAACCCCCAAATCTGCAAATAAGATATGTTCAGATTGGCTTCGCACTCTGGGCCCCAGCAGAAAAGCAGCAGCTGGTAACTGAAAGAACCGAGGGGAGCTCTCAGCTGCTGCCAATGCAGAGGGCATAGAAGTTTGGGACTTGGTTGAGTCTTGCCACATGGACTACCAGCTAAGACAAAAATTCTTCTTTAGAGAATCATAACAGAATTCAGAAGCTCTATAATGTATCATTTATCATGTCTAGTGCTCATTCAAAATTTACTAGACAAGGAAAGGACAAGACAATGCAACCCACACTAAAGAAAAAAAGCAGGCTATAGAAACCAATACCACCCTGGCTGGTTAGCACAGTTGGTTAGAGCATCATCCCAATATGCCAAGGTTGCAGGTTCGACGCCCCTCCGCCCACCACCAATCAGGGCACATACAAGAATCAACCAACCAATGCATAAATAAGTGAAACAACAAATCAATGTTTCTCTCTCCCCCCCCGGCCCCCCCACTCTCTTCCCACCCTCTTTCTAAAATCAATAAATAAAAAAATTAAAAAGAAAAAAACACTACCAAGATGACCCAGATGTTGCAATTAGCAGACAGGAACTTTACAGCAAATAAAAGACCCAAAGGAAAATATATACATAAAAAAATGAACAGAGGAGAAATACAGAATTAGAAACTATAAAAACAAACCAAATGGAAATTCTAAAGCTGAAAAAAATTCATAAAATGAAAAATTCACTACAAAATCTTTTTTTAAAGGTCTTATTTATTTATTTTTAGAGAGAGGGAAAGGGAGGCGAAAAAAGAGAAACATCGATGTGTGAGAGAGACATTGATCGGTTGCCTCTCGCACACCCCCAGCTGGGGACCTGGCCTACAACCTGGGAATCGAACTGGCGACTCAATCTACTAAGCCACACCAGCCAGGGCGCACTGCATAATCTTAACAGCAAAAGACGGTCGACAGAAAAGTCAGTGCAGTAGAAGTTAAACGTACAGAAATTATCTGTCTGGAACAAAAAGACTAAAAAAATGAACAGAGTCTAGGTAACTCTAGGACAATATCTAGCAGTCTAACAAGTAACTAGAGAGAGAGAATGGGTCACAAAAATATTTTTTAAAAATAATGGCCTAAACTTCCCAAAATTGCAGAAAAACATGAACTTTCAGATCCCAAAAGCCCAATGCATGCCAAGCAGGATAAATAATAAAACCACTCCCAGACAAATCATTGTCAAACTGCCAATGAAAAGATAAGAGAAAAATCATGAAAGGAGGCAAAAAAAAAAAAAAAAGAGACATATTACGTAAAGGATATCATATCTAATAACAGGTAACTTTTGATCAGAAATGACAGAAGCCGAAGATAATGGAACCTCTTTAAAGTGATGAAAGGAAAAAAAAATCCATCTACCATCGAGAATTAAAACTAACAAACTAACTTTCAAAAATGAAGGTGAAATAAAGAAATATGCAAAAACAAAAGCTGAGAGAATTCTTCACAAACAAACCTCCACTACAAGGCCTTTTAAGAAAATTCTGAAAGGTAAAATAAATGACAAATAGGTAGTAACCCTCAAATGTATAGTATGAAATAAGGGACGCTGGAAATGTTAAATAGGTGGATAAATATAAAAACTATATGTTTTTTAACTTAAAAATTGCCATAAGGAATATATACAGTTATAGTATAAGGTTTATAACTTGCAGGAATGCAAAAGAAACAAAGAGAAAAGAAAAAAGAGAAACAAAATCCACATGAAACAAAAAAATTGAAAGACACAAATCCAACCACATCAATAACTACATTAAATGTAAATGAACCAAACACTCCACTTAAAAGGCAGAGATGGTCAGTCTGGATTGAAAAGATTCAACTATATGCTCTCTATAAAAAGTGGACATTAGTGATGTTATTATAGAATAGTGAGACGACTATCGTTTCTCCCCTTAAATTTATAACAAGTTGGACAATTATGACTCAAAAAAGGATCTCCTGCTCCAAACGCACAGCTGAAAAATCCATGCATCCAGGTGTTTGAAGGTGGGCAACCGGGAACGAGTAGGGAAGGTGGCACGGGGCACGGACAGGGACATGGTGCTGCAGACTCAGGCAGGTGTCCACCACAGCTCCAGAAAGTGTGGCGACAGGGAGGGGCAGGGCTGCAGCCCTAACACAGTGGCCTAGAGTGTCAGCGGGGCCGAAGCAGCTTCCCTCCCAGAAAATTTATCTCCCCTCCCCTTCCCCACTGTGGCAGAACCAGGTAGAGGCGGCTGGGAAGCTTCAAACAAAACAGTGCAGTGACAGCCACTACCGGCAGGAGGGCAAAGCCGTGAGATGGCACCCCTGCCTCCTCTCTCCGCATGGCCCGAGAGAACCCAGTAAAGCCGAAAGTAGAGAAAAAAGAGGTAGTTCTTGGAGCTCACAAAACCTGTTCTCCACCACCCACCACATTCCTCCAGCACAGTGGCAGTGTCCCAGAACCAAGGTGAGGGGGTCAAAGAGAGAATATCCACCATCCCACTGAGTACACAGCACACTGCATAGCTGAACCACCACTTCACAGTGATCCGAGGTCACAAACAGTGCAGGTAAAAGACAACCAAAACTTGCGCTATACCACCATCTACTGGAAAACAAAAGAAAGCACCCTACCTATAAACCTGCTGAATTGCTGAGGGCAAAATAGTATCTACACAAGAAAATAGACCACTGCACCTCAGAGTATCTATCAATCAAATACCATGAACAACCAAGGCAATTCGGGAGCACAGAAGCAAAATTAAAAGACTCCTGAAACCAAACGGAAAGTCATGGAGGACTGTGATTTAAATGACAGAATTCAAGACTGTGGTTAAGAAAAAAAACAAATAATACATAAGAAAACTAAAAAAGGCACGGATCTTTAAAATTTATGAAATTTTAAAAATTTTTAAATGAATTTTTAAAAATTAATGAACAAAAAGAAGTACTCACCAAAGACAATAAAACTATATCAAAACTATATCAAACCAGAAAGAAATTCTGGTGCTGAAGAACTCAATATACGAGATCAGGAATGCATCAGGCAGCACTGGAAACAGAACAGTCCAGATGGAAGAGACAACTGGCAAACTCAAAGACACAAACCTAGAAATGACCCGGGAGGAAGAAAAGAACGAACTAAGGGTTTTCTCTGATTCCCAGAGACACTACCCAAGTCCCTACATCTGGCCCAAGCCTTTCTGAGCAGCTCCTCTACACAAGGGGCCTGCCTTGGTTTGCACTCTCTCAAAGGTCCACAAACCCCAAACAAGCAGCGACTGGCCTCAGCATATCTTGTGGCTTTAGCCAAGTGTTTCCAGGCTCAACAAAAGCAG